AAAATTCTAATTTCTCCCATGGAGTACCGCACCGAAAACGTCATGTACTTATTTGCAACTTATAAATAATTGAATTTCATTCTAGAAATTTAGGTGTAGAAGATGTGATGAAATTCAAAGTCAAACAAAAAAAAAGCAGACTTGAACACAAATTTGAGGAAAGTGTATAATGAGGGACAGATGTTTTTGATGTCATCTCTTAGAGAAAAGCGATCCGCGTTTACGTCAGAAAAACATATTTTCGCAAATAATATATATTGATGACAGCTCTGTTTCAACCTTTAAAAATATTGCTTTCTTATATAGTCAATCTGAAACGCAATGCAATTAAGCTTTTAAAGGAGTCTTTAGAAGAAGAACCTTGTCGAATTCTCTTCATTCTTTAAACGTGGCAGGTCAGGCTTTAAAATGTAAAAAGAACGTCAGCTTGCATGGTTATTTTTCGTATTTGGACGTAATCTGGAAATTAGTTGACTCTATAGTTGTGCGAAGTTACCTTAGATTGCCAATTTTACCAGGCCATCATAGAAAATGAATTCCTGAATTTAACGATCGCTAGTTTATACGTATACTAGACCAGAAAACTTACCTTTATAAACCCCAATTTTAAACCAAAAAATCCAACGAGTATAAATGAAATATTGGGGATTGAAAGCACGCATGCACTTTGTCTGCTGGTTCTACTTCTCCCTGCTCCTCGTTTGGTCGTACTTTTTCTCAGTTTGTCTCTCCTAGCATCGTTCGGTTGCTGCTGTTTGCGTTGCCCGGTTGACATACAGGCATCTCAGGTGAGGTGTAAAATTAAAGCTTTCACATTATGAAATATTAGTTCGGATAAGATAAACGCACATGCAAATAAGCGTGACGTTCATCAGATTTTATTGCTACTACCCAGACAAGTGGCTCAAATTTAATGGGAAGTTTTGAATCAAATTTCCGTTCAAGTAAATAGTCTTAGCAGAAAATTAGCGAACTCGTGTCAATCAAACAGAAACAATTGACAATGGAAACGGAAAATCCAATCACTTTAATCAGAGAATAACCAGCATTTTCCATTTTACAGAGAGGTGACGCCGTCTTTTTCTTGAATTTACGTCAAGGCAGAGTAATTGATGTGGTGTGGAATCGCTAGTAATATGAGACGAATACCGTGTACCAAATACATCAATCAGATGTTTGAGCTCTACAAAGCCTGGTAATGATTTACAGGTCGGTTCTTGAATTCGGCAATCTTAATCCCTAAATTTGTTCATTATGTATTGAGGAAGGGAATCCGTTTGCTCTTAACTTAAAACTTGCTTATCGCAAAATGAAAATAACACAACGAGCGTTGTGCTTATTTACTAAGTACCAGTCAATAACTGGGAATATTTAAAGTGACGGTTAGTCATTTGCATGATAGACTAAGAAAAGAAACTTGGTTACTTTGAGCCTGCGTGCTACAAGGGTGTTAGTCGTGACCATTTGACTATATATGTTTGGTCATTAAACTATTTTTCTGGTTTCTGAGTTATTTTACGTCTTACCTAAGCCTGCCTTAAAGTGTTTGGTTTGTTTCTCAAAATTGACCAGCTCCTGCGAGTGAAATGGACAAGGTAATTAACTTGAAAACTCAGTTTTGATACATCAAAAATATTGAGAGAAGAACGATTTACAAGACAATAAACGGCTGGGCGGACCCTGATTGTCTTGTCTATTGTGTTATCATAATTCGCATAGCTTTTCCTTTTGAAGGGTGCACGTTCTATCGAGAAATTCGTGACAATTAGAAATATCTTGTATTCTAGAATATTAATGTTTCGTGTTAATCATCCTTAATTTGTATGAGATAGTTTTAGTTGAGAGCGAAGTTTGCGCAGAAGAGAAAGCTTTGCGATGGTACTTGTTTAGCGAAGTTCGCTGAATAGAAGCTTTTCAGAGAATTTCTAAGTTCAATTCGTGATATTTATTAGAAACTTGGAAGTCTGAGAATTAAGTCTGAGGAAGTCTTTGTACTTATCAATGAAGCGTGCAAACTTCTGTANATAGTGCTTTACTGCGAAGGATCGTTCACATATACGTCTCATAACCGCAGTTCATACATATGTTTCATACGTTTGTTGTTGTTAAACTGAATATTCCATCTCTTAGTGAATTTTCAGTCAAATATAGAGTTAAACGATAAGAATAGCGCATTTGAACGATACCCTGGCCAAAAATACCAGACAAGTCACTCTAACACTCTACAAAATGCATTAAATTTTAAATGCTTTAAAGGCTTTTCAAAGGCGAGAGCGGCAAAAGCTTGTAAATTGATAATGTCAAGCCCTTGAAGTAGGATCCTGTTATAACAAATACTTTCAATGAGTTATCCTCTGCCTAGAAACATTTTTTTTTTGCTGATATCATGCTCTAAGTAAAGGAAGTTATTTTGCTTTTTAGCTTTGTTGTTAAGCTAGTAAGCATTTAAGACCAGATGAAATCATTTTGCTTTGAAGTATATATCCGATGAAAATAATAAGTGAACATGTATTATTTTTCACTTATCTGTTATGGCCTTGTCTATCAACTGCATCCTTAAACTGTGTTAACTGACAGTTAGCAGTTGCTCTGTAGGGAAGCCGGAGGATGAACCGAAGTAAACATGGCTCTTACAAGTATCTTTAGCTTGTCCTTTTTAATATCAGCTTCTTATCTCTAATTCAGTGAATTCAAGAGGTTCTTGGTTAGAGATTGGTAGAGATGGTCCAATCAGATAGTCGGCGTGTTCGAAAGTAAATTTTACCACAATTGGCAATAATGTCGCAATCTGATTGGCCAATCTGCCGTTGTCGATAACAGTACAGACAAAGCTGCTCACGTCAACTTGTCTTAGTCACGCACTGAAAGAATCGTTTTATTTGAGGTGGAAGTTGTGGTAATACAAATTGACAGTGGTTTAGCGTGTACTCACTCACGAGACAAGTTTGATTGTGAACATAAATCCGACAACGAAAAAATTACATTCTACAGTTAAACGATTTACAACTGTTTCGAGATGAATATATTTGGGTTGTTTTTAATGACCGTTTGTCTGATAAAAATGAAACCGGTTTGTCAGTTTTAGAAATTGGCTTTTTTAATTTGAGATGTAGGAAATTAGAACATTAAATTTATTCGATGGTCACCCAACAAGTATTTTCATAGAAAATTTTTTGATTTAAGTGCAGCAAAAATCTGGGCGAAGGGCAAAGATACTACCCAGCGTTTAAACCGCTTACAAAACGCTTTGTTTTTCAGACGAACGAAAATCTTTCCGTTTCATTCATTTACGTGCGGGTTTCTTCAGTAACTCGTATACCAAATTCTCCGAATATTTTGTTCCGTAAAAAGATAGAGTCAATTTTATTCATTGAAAATGAAACCATGAAAGCAATAAAATGCAGAAATTAAAAAACACGAACAGCTCACCTTTGAAAACAGAACATAACCTCTTTCGTCAGATCCTGATGGTGTGATTAATGAAAACAAAAGACAAAGTATGAAAATGAAATGATACTTTCCCAGACAAACAAACATGAATGCAAATAGCTGGTGTAAGGACGTTTTACTTACACGGTTGGTCAGAAGAAATCATCAAAATATGAAATAAAAAAAAACCCAAGATGAAAGAAAAATTGTATCTCAAGTTGCGCATAAGATTAATCAAATAACGTACGGGATCTTCTTAGTTCAATCATCACAGAAGTGATGGGCATGTAGTTTCTCCCTACCATATCAACATACCATACAGCAATCAAAATGGTGAGGGTAAACAGACTCATCATTCAGAGGGTGTCATTTCTGTGATCAGTAAGTTTCAAAACAAAACATTTTAACGCATAACTTGTCGTTTCTTAGATGAATTTTTAGCTGCTCACCTTTGAAATCGGAAAGATGTCTGGATAGTTAGGACACCAAAATCAAGAAAATGATTTCAAATTTTTCCTGCAAATTAACCAAGAATGCAAAGAGATAGTGTAAGACTGAATACGAAAATTGTCAGTAAAAAAAAAGGGATCATCGTAAAAACCCAAGAAGGATGGAATTACCCATAAGATATATCAACAAATACTGCATTATGTCGCATATCGTTGCTAAGAGTTTGGTGGTTTAAATTGCACTTTGTCCGCCGGATTTTTTCAAACATTCAACTTAGAATTACAGATGTGAGAAACGTGTTGGTCCTCTTTCCAATCTGAAACATATTATTCAGTCAACAAGGGGAGAGAATGCTTATCAGCTGAGGCTGTTTTTATACAACACAAAAGTTCTCTCTATTTACTAACAAGGTAACGTGATGGAACTACAAGGAAGAATTTCTGATGAGATCACGAATTCAAAGGGTTACTGAAAATGATGCAGACCTTAAATATTTTGCAATCAAATCAAAAATATATTCGAATTGGAAGGTCTGCACATACATCATCAGATTTTGTGAAATAAGAACTCTTTTATCTCCGAATCTCCTTAAATTTTAACCTGAAATAATTTTTTTACAGCGGTGAAATAATAATTGTAACTAGATATAGTTTTTCATAAGCTAGCCTTTTTAAAAATAAACGCGCTTCCTAACTCAGTATTTGAGGGATGAGACCGAAAGCCGGAAGAAAGAAAGATAAAGGCGAGAACAGACAGCTACTTTCGTTCGGTTAGAAAATATCCGTCATCTTAAAAGTCTGAGACAAGAAATGAAAAACTGCAGTTAATAATCTTTTGGTCTGAGATAACTCGACATGACTTTCCAGTTCGTCCATGAGGTGCACTGAACAACATTCTGGCGCTACTCTTTTTACATAAGAATTCGTCATTTATTCTTGAATTTGATTTCCGTTGCACCTGATTTGAGGAGGCGAAAAAGGGAAAGGACTGTAAGCTACTGTTTTCTTTATTTCTGCTGCTTTACCTTGAACAAGGAAGTGTTTCTTGTTCAATTAGTGTTCCGATCATATGAATGAGGAAGCCAGGAGTACTGAAGAAACTGAAATAACGCCGCTTTCCTTGCATGCGAAACAGAGATGAATGGCAATTAAAAGTGTAACAAAAAGCTTGATCAATGAAACAAAAAATCTTTTAAAAACCTAATACAGAATTACTTCGCTTTCCACATTCCCCGTAATTTAAGTAAAAAACATGGCATCTTTGTTCTTTTTAAACCAGAATTTCCCGTTCATGCATCTTGTGTCTGCTTTTACTCTTTCACTCTCAGACTCTGACACTTAAGAATTGATTAACGTGCAATTTCTCCCTATAATAGCCTTATATTCTTTAGCTAACAATTTTGGAGAAGAACGAAACTTATCAGCTGGACGGTGTTAAATTGACACAACATTTCATTCTCTAAAAACATTTACAGTGACTTTTATAACATTTAAAAAGGAAACTTAGTAAGATCATGGGCCTAAAGGTCTAGAGTTGAGTTAATCATATTGTTTTGGAGACAATGATGAGTTTGAGTCAAGTTTTAACGACAAATATTTGCCAAAACCTAAGATTATTTCGAGGATTAAGCCCTTTGCCTTTGAATTGTTCAGTCCGCAACATGAGAGGGAAAAGATGTTTTCCAGGCAAAACATATTTTTTTACTACTAATCTTTCACAAAAGAAGTTCGTCTTGTTTGATATTCTAGTCGTATGACTGATGAAACCGAAGCTAAGAAACTAAAATGAAACTTTCTCTGCAAAACAAAGATAAACTGATGCAAATAGTTACTGCAAGAAAGAAGTGAAAAAATAAAAAAAAAAAAATTGATGAATCGAAAAGAACAACGGATACCAAGTATAAAGATTTGTAGGAGGAAAAAAAGCCGTTTATAAACCTAAAAATCAATCGCTCTTCATCTTCCCCATAAATTAAGCGCACAAGATAGAGTTACCAAACAGAACAGATTTGCCCGCCTTGATTTAATTTGAAATTTAGCAATACTGTGTGATCTGTGTATACTTTGCGTTTGCATCGAAATTGAAAGGCCTTAAGCTACCAAGGAAGGCCATGACACAACAACATTAGTCGGAACCAAACGAATATTTTATGAGAAGAATCTCTGCTCATGTGATGAACGAGTCCTATCAAAAAATAAATTATTCAATTTCGAATGGCTGTTTTTTTACCCAATTTTTTTACGTTGGGAACACCAACAACGTTTACAGTCTTTCTGAATCTGAACATTTGTTTTGTCGAAGGTAATTGACACCACGACTGAAACACAGTAGGTACATAATGTTTAACATCTGTAAACTTCTCATGACATTTTTTAGCACCGATAAGGCATGTCTATTGGATTGAATCCATACTGGCGTTCTGAGTGTTATCCCACCGCTGGATAGGTTTGAATGAAATGAATTTGACTCAACACGGCAGAAGCACCGATTTTAATGCGCAAGAGATTTTCTCTCCTTAGGATATGAAGAAAATTGTAAAAAAAAAAGAGGGAATTTATTCCTTCTTTGGCAATTCATTTTGTGTCAGTACATGTATTATAATCAATATAGTAATGGTCTATACAAGAGCAGCTCCGATTATAAAGGCGTTGAAATATGTATTGGAAAATTGATGAGAAGTCTCATTAACACATCAGCATAATTAAATATCGCACTTACCACAACTCTAACTATGAGCACTTTGTTGCTTTGAACAGCGACGTAGCCAAACCTCGAATTAGATCAGTAGCATTTGTGATACGTCTATGGTTATAGAGGCGTGGCGAATATCAACCCACCCCAAACGGGACCGATATAGTGTATGCGTTGTGACACAAGCCGGAGAGAGGTTTGCTGGGGATTTGGCACTAGTTATCAGTGCTATATCCCGGACAGACCTTTCGGAGGGTGGCAAAGGGGGGTTTCCAATCACACATCACGCTGAATTTTTCTTTTAAGTCACGCATCAAGGAGAATTTTTTTTTATCAAACACGCGTCACGTAAAAAGAAGTAAGTACGCTAAGCTAGTACTGTAAGATTTCAATCTATCGGATGTATTGTTTAAAATTATATTGCGCTTTCCACCTTTTTTATTCTGGAGTGAATTCCCTTTTACTAGTCATATTGCTATTTGTTAGAAAATTAACGACTTACCTGTTGAAACTAGACGCTAGGAGAGCGTTTACTCGGGCTTCATATCGCAGTAAATAAATAAATAAATAAATATATATCCCCCGTGGGTCAGGGAGAGAGGACGACTGACATTCATACTACCTTATAGATTTCCGACAAAGGGAATGTGCATGGCTCTCAAAGAATGTTATCGTATGAGCTATATCCTGAAGAAAATTATCACTTCTGGTTGTCATCTTTTCAAAATTGATCACCCTTCAAAGAGGACTACTCGACGTAACTACAAACATATACCTCAAATTGTGTGCATATCATCCAGATTCCGAGCGCTGCACCTTCTTTCATGGGGACTTGAACAATCCCAAATCCTCCGACGATACACTGCTATACTTCTATGTCATTTGCAACATGTTAAGATTACTTCCCACCTTCAGAGGCCGAAAATATCGTTTTTTCTTTTATTGGATTAGATCGAAGTTAGAAATCATATCAAACTCACGGGGTACAAATAGTCTCTTACTGAATTTCATGACCACGCCCACTTCATCAGCCCACTCAAATCGAGTGCGATTTTTGGATGTTATATCATCTTGCCCACTCTCTGTATAAAAAGTTAACAATGTACCACCGAAATATCGAACTATAATATCATGGCTTTCCATTTTGTGTATTTTTGTACTACAAAGTAAAGTTTTTCCCTCGTCATTTTCACCTTTTCCTGAGCGGGTCCGTCAAAATTAAGAAGGCGTTCGTGGTCAAAACAAGACCGAGCAAGGAGTCTTGGGCTATTTCTCTCTTACGCAAGCGCAAATTGAAAATGTACCGCCAAAATCAAAGAGAGGAACAAATTTCGTTTGTTTTGATATGTAAATTGTCGAACAAGGAGCAGATTGAACCTCGTGAAATGGCTATTCAAAACAGCCACACCTTCCTCCTTTTGCTCGTTTCCTGTTTTATAAGCGTGAAAGCAGTGGGAGAAGAATCGGGTAGCTCGGAAAGCGCTTCACCATCGTTTACTTACGAGATAAACAAGTAAGATTTGTAAAGTTATTTTCCGAAAGAGTCGGAATAAATACATTTTTTTCAGGTTAGATTGCTGTTTTTAACCCTAAACGTCGTCCAATAAATTTTTGTTGCAGCCTACTAATCTATACAATTTCGAAAGAAAATATTCAGATGCTTCACCGTCCCCGAAGGGGGTTCTGTCCTGGTGTACCGGTTCACAAGGGAATTACCATTGTTCTTGCTTTGTTTAGGAGTTATCGGTTAGCTATTGTGTATTGTTTGGTCTTTTCTATTGGCTCTTGTGAACCGGTACACGAGGACAGAACCCCGAAGGGTCTCCACTCATCGAAGCGTGTACTGTAGCCAATGTAGTGAATTTTCAGTCTCTTGTTGGGTTTGTCAACCTCCGTGACTTCAATATCATACAATTTTGTATCTTTCTCTGTGAAATGACCTTTTTAACAGGGGTGTATGCTGATTATTCGTTGCAGAATCGCTTTGGTTCTCTTATCTCTCTCTTTGGCTTGTCCGCCATTTTGAAAATTTGCTCAGGAGGGCATCTGTGTTAGCGGCCGCGCCAGGCTGGAACCGACAAAAACAAATGTCCATCGCAGTGGGGAAACAGTTTGATATGTTTACCAAACGTTTGCAAAAAGGAAAATTTTAAAACCTCAAAAAGCATTCGACTTATTTAGGAAAACGTCTTTTCAAATAAAAGTTAATAAATCAGGAGGGTGTCATAATCTCGTTTATCATCTTAGGGGCAAAATTACTGAATTGTGATTGGTCAAGACAGAGGGCATTTTTTCTTAATTTTCGTATTTTCCCCGGGCAAAATTACTTGAAAATGATTGGCTAAAATTCGCTTAGCAACGGCTGCCAAGGCAAAGAAATATCTGTTTGTTTTGTAACAATGGCGTCCCGTTTTGCGCGAGATCAGTAAGAAAACATTTTGCCCCTTATATCATAAACAAGTAATCACATGGTTCCTCGTAAAATTAAGGATTAATATCACTTGTGTTTTGGGAAGTTGCAGAAATTGCCCGAGTCGCGCAGCGACTCGGGCAATTTCAGCAACTTCCGAAAACACGCGTGATATTAATCTTTAATGCTATTCGGCCCCATGCGATTACCTATACAAATGGGCGAACCCCCATTCACGGCAATTTCATGTCCTTTGCATATTTTGTTTACATCGCGCACATGACAAAATTAACACGTGAAAGTTCTCTGCTGGTAGAAAGTCTTTCCTCATTGATAAAAAAACAGAAATAAAAATTATAGAGGAGCCCCTTGGCAAAGAAAAAGAAAATAACAGGCCCAAAGAAGAGAGAGATGGCATCATTTTTTCTGGAAAAAAAACCAGTCCTGGCACACCTCTCCGCACTGGCATCTGAATTACGAAAAACGAAGTCGCCATCAAATCTACATTTGTCGTACATATGGTTAAAAACGAAGTTCCCTTTCAATAGGCAAGTATCGGCCTTAATACAAAACATGAGCAATCGCCTCGATTCACAAAAAAAATGAAATCATGAATAAACCTACCCGTGAAAATTCATTTCAGGGATAAGGGTATTACTTAAGCTGTCTGTCGATTTACTGTTTTGATTTTAGTAGTTTCTCCAGCTTTACCTTTTTCGCCGCGGGTTTTTTCTTTGCCGATTTTGCCCATTACTTAACGTTCAAAAGAGCTAGATAAAAGAACATAATTGCTATGCGATACTTTTCCCGGGAAAATCTGAATGCATTGGCATTGACGCAAGGAGGTTCCGTCTTCTCATTGGTTCGCAGTTTCAGGCGGCGAGATAATCTCTTGGTGTGGCCCTAGTTGTTTACAAACCTTTAGGAGGTAAAATCTCGCATTTGATTTTGAGAGGAATACATCCCCCTTGAGAAAATCTATAGGGTATGTAGGTTTGACCGATTTTCGTGAAATTTTGCCAAAACATTCCGCGGATAATGACAAACGAAAGCGTGTCTGGAAATTTTGATAATTGAAATATTTTTCACTTTGTGTCCATTTACGCAACACGTTTCGCATATTGTAGGCTACTCTAACTTTAGATGCGGATATCTAGACAACCAGTCAGAATAACGGAAAAGCCTGCTACACTTTTGTTGATTGATGCCTCGTAAATAGGACTGTGCAGCCATTTTGCTCGTGCTCCGGGATCCGAAACCCGATAAATTCAATAAAAAGACCCTTGGTATTATTACGCCTTACTGGATACTGGTACTTCCTAAATGAAAAAAATCGCCTAAATTATATTTTTCATTGTCAACTGCATTTATTAAGCTTTGTTTTGATGTATAGTTTGTTAGGGTTTTCTTGAAACTAGCGCGCGTATGAAATTTTTCCCGAAGGACACCCGCGAAGGTAGGAGGTAACCTTAAAATGGGCTGATATACCGACCATTTGTCAATAAACTTGTACATTATCCCGATAGCGTAACGTTGTCTTTGTCCACGAAGTTTTCATCGGTTGCTCCAGAGAAGACGAGAAACTAATGATTTAAATTAATCGTCTGTTTGTTTCTTTCGTGGTATCCTGAGTACCGATATAACGACCTCATGTAATCCATCTTCTGAGTCATGATAACAATCACACCTGGGGAACAATATGCAAATTCATTAGAGGACACTGACGGTACTTGTGGGAAACTGGGGATGAGAATCACAAGCTTTCCCTGAAAGGTTTGCCGCTGTCCCCAACTTTTGCTCAAAGATCTTGATATGAAAACCGACATTTTTGTTTGAGTACATTGAATTAAGGACTCTCAAACGCTCCCCAAACAAAACCACCAGCTAAGCACAGTAGCTATTAGGAGATCGCATGTAAAACTACTTATTCATTACACAACAAATTTCCTAGCAAGCTCAAGTTAATGCTTCAATAGCGTCTTGTTCTTCTGATTTTGTCTCCAAATCTACGCAGGCAGGAAATATATTGTCAGACCGCACATTTAAATCATCAACGACGGTGGTTTTACTGTCTTGTGAATCTTACCGTGATCAGGATTTTAAAGCGCAGTAAAACTTAATTCCTTGATTTGGCACAGTTTTAATTTTTTTTGTCATCACTCTACGATATTTGTTTCTGTTAAAAGATACAGATCCTAAGAAATGGTGGGCACAGTGCAGACGTATTTGCGGCATGGGAAAAACACCATCTGACTTATCTAACAAGCTATTAATTGATAAGCCTTTTACTGATAATAATATTAAACGCCTCGCAAACGTCATCAATCAAGCCTTTACGCCCACAACCCTGAGGATTTTCGGCCATGGATACATTCCTGATGACTATCACGTTAGCACATATGGTTATGAGGCTCCGACTATTTCACTTGAACAGTGTTTTAAATGGCTTAGCACAGTTGTCGCCTCTAAAGCTAGCAGGAGGCCTATATGACATCCCAACTGGGTTTTACGTGAGTTTGCTCTTGAACTCAGTGTTCAGCCAGTTTTTTCGATTTTAAATACATTCTTCATTACTGGCTCTATGCCTGAAATTTGGAAATGCGCTAACGTCACTCCTCTAGCTAAAGTAAACAACATAGAGGATATCGAGAAAGACCTATTTTGCTTACCCTACCTTATCGAAAATTGCAGAACATTTTGTTGTCCAAGAGCATGTGAAGCCTGCT